CCCTCAACAAATGTTTGTGATCGATATCGTCGACAATGACTTGCACCTGTCCATTAAGACTTCCCACAACAAATGAGTGTGATCGATATCATCGATCATGACTTGTATCTGTCCATAAGACCTCCAACAACAAATGTTTGTGGTCGATTTCGTCGACAATGACTTGTATTTGTCAATCAAGACCTCCCACAACAATTGTATGTGATCGATATCATCAATAATGACTTGTATCTGTCCATAAGACCACCCTAAACAAACGTTTGGGATCGATATCGACGATAATGACTTGTAATTGTCCATTAAGACCTCCCACAACAAATGTATGTGATCAATATCGTCGATAATGACTTGTACCTGTCTATTAAGACTTCCTAAAACAAATGTTAGTGATCGATATCTCCGACAATGATTTGTACCTGTCCATTAAGATCTCCCACAACAAATGTTTGTGATTGATATCGTCGACAATGACTTGTACCTGTCCATTAAGACGTCCCACAACAAATGTTAGTGATCGATATCGTCGACAATGATTTGTACCTGTCCATTGAGACCTCCCTCAACAAATGTTTGTGATCGATATCGTCGACAATGACTTGCACCTGTCCATTAAGACCTCCCACAACAAATGTTTGTGATCGACATCGTCGACAATGACTTGTACCTGTCTATTAAGACCTACCACAACACATGTTTGTGATCGATATCGTTGACAATGACTTGTACCTGTCCATTAAGAGTGATAACTTGGAATTGTTATACTTTATCTACAAACACCAGAAAACTAGTAAACTGACAATTTTTAAATTTACTGAAATTGTTTCTTATAATTGGAATCAACATTCAACATTTAACGATGCATATTTATAAGTAAATAAAGATTGGTTCCATTTTGAAATTTAAATGTTTTGTTGCCATTTTCTCACGTAGTTCAAACTTTGACACTAATTTTGTGAAGAAATAATCTCATAGAAAAGTAAATTTGAATTTAGCTGTGAATATATTATATCAAGGAGACCTTAGTATATTATGTATAACATTTACTAAATTCCTCCATGGGTACAAAGGTTTAATTTGTATGTTTGGCAAATTTTTACGGAGATGTTTTTTTCCAAGCCCAGAATTGACATTGTAGATACGATCGTGGTAAACTAATCGATCCGTTAAATAAACTTATTCTAAAAGGTTACCAATTCAACTTTGTAATTTGATCTTTAAATATTATTTTTATTGGTATAAATATTGATTTTGTTATCAGTAAATTAAAACGAAGCTAATATTATTGTTATATACTAGTGTTGTCAACGGTTAACCGGTTAACCGTCGGAAGGACCGAATATCGAATACCAAAAACGCTAACCGGTTAACCGGACCTTATTTTCAATTTTAAGAGATTTGATATTGAAATCATTAATAAATTTTGTTCAATTTTAAAATGATCCTAGTTGTAATAAATTTGACAGATCAATTGTCCAGTATATTGCTTATTCTTGTTAACCTTGAAAACATAAAATTAATTAGCACAAATACAACTTGTCTATCAGCTCGGGGCAAGATTGTAAGTGAACATAATTAGCAAACATGTATTATGAACAGTTGTAAGCCGATTAAATTTTACGATTTACTATATTATATCATTTTTTATTTGATATTGCGTAGACCTACATGTAAATATGCCATCTCCATCGTCCAATGCTTTGTCATACTTTAAACGAAATGCCGACTCAAAAATGGTGAAATGCAAATCAACGTGAATGGAACTAATGTATACTGGGTGGTACGAGTAACACACTTAATCATCTCACAATGGAACTAATGTATACTGGGTGGTACGAGTAACACACTTAATCATCTCACAATGGAACTAATGTATACTGGGTGGTACGAGTAACACACTTAATCATCTCACAATGGAACTAATGTATACTGGGTGGTACGAGTAACACACTTAATCATCTCACAATGGAACTAATGTATACTGGGTGGTACGAGTAACACACTTAATCATCTCACAATGGAACTAATGTATACTGGGTGGTACGAGTAACACACTTAATCATCTCACAATGGAACTAATGTATACTGGGTGGTACGAGTAACACACTTAATCATCTCACAATGGAACTAATGTATACTGGGTGGTACGAGTAACACACTTAATCATCTCACAATGGAACTAATGTATACTGGGTGGTACGAGTAACACACTTAATCATCTCACAATGGAACTAATGTATACTGGGTGGTACGAGTAACACACTTAATCATCTCACAATGGAACTAATGTATACTGGGTGGTACGAGTAACACACTTAATCATCTCACAATGGAACTAATGTATACTGGGTGGTACGAGTAACACACTTAATCATCTCAAATTGAAACACTCAACATATATATTACGAGTAACACACTTAATCATCTCAAATTGAAACACTCAACATATATATTACGAGTAACACACTTAATCATCTCAAATTGAAACACTCAACATATATATTACGAGTAACACACTTAATCATCTCAAATTGAAACACTCAACATATATATTACGAGTAACACACTTAATCATCTCAAATTGAAACACTCAACATATATATTACGAGTAACACACTTAATCATCTCAAATTGAAACACTCAACATATATATTACGAGTAACACACTTAATCATCTCAAATTGAAACACTCAACATATATATTACGAGTAACACACTTAATCATCTCAAATTGAAACACTCAACATATATATTACGAGTAACACACTTAATCATCTCAAATTGAAACACTCAACATATAAATCACGAGTAACACACTTAATCATCTCAAATTGAAACACTCAACATATATATTACGAGTAACACACTTAATCATCTCAAATTGAAACACTCAACATTATTTACTGAGACATAAGAGAAAATGAAACAATCAACGGTTTCAGACTTTGTCAATTCGACGAGATCAAGAAGATTTTCATCATCTCAATCTGAAGTTAGGAATGCTCAACGCCAAGCCTTATAATGCTCAAGGATAAACATCAAGTTATCGTATCATAAAAACGTACATATGTAGCGTACTATAGATAAGGCATTTAAACATTAACTAAACTACCGGTTAACCGGTCAATCGGACGAAAGATTATCAGAGTAACCGGTTAGGCAAAACTGTTCGATTTGACAACACTATTATATACATATATATATTTATAAGTACGTCTGAACCAGTGACAACTCTACAACAGATTTATCCATCGGATCACCAGCAGTGATGGTGATACATGGCTGTGTACATTCTGTATATACAACTCGTCTAAACATCAGCCCAACATGTTAGATCTGTAAATTTGCTTTCGCAAATTTTTTGTTCTTCCCTCTATACATAAATAAGTCTAAATTGAAAACCTATGATTGCGTTGGATAAAAACCGCAATTTTTATACGTGTGCATGCAAAACAAATTTCTTGGTAGAGGGGTCTAAATACAGCACAAACAACATTTTCCAAAAAACCAAAAGTGAAAAAGTATATTTTAACAAAACGCATTTGACTAGCAGGTCGAACAACTGATGTTCTTAAACCCTGCTGACTGCCATTGGCGATAGCCAAATAAACGGATCACCAGATGTATATATGCACATTCACGGTTCTACAATCTGTCGATACCAGCAATTTGGCATTGCACAAGGTCCTGTTTTCTCTAGACTCTTAATGACGTCTTTACACTAAATCAATTGGATGTTGGATGTGTACTGATTGATACTTTAGTCTTAGATACATGATTTTATCTATTAGTTGTTTCTGGCTTTGCACTAGCAGTCAGTAACTGCGAGTACTCTCCAGATCTGTACTTTTTGCTGTGGGGATGTATAAATACCCTGTCACGTCCGGTCTGCGTTTTTGTTAATTGTTTTTCTGCTTTGTATCGATCTGATGAGTTGAGCCCTTTTCAACTGATTTTTATAGTTTGTTCATAGCTGTTCTGTTACACCACTGCCACAGGTTAGGAGGATGGTTGGGCACCCGCTAACATGATTGACCCGGCACATTCTATATGTGCCTGTCCCAAGTTACAGAAATCTGTAATTCAGTTGTTGTAGTTTGTTGCTGTATATCATATTTGTATTTTGTTCATTGTTTTTCTACATAAATCAGGCAGTGTTTTTTTCGTTGGAATTGTTTTACATTTGTTATTTCGGGGTCTTTTGTTAATAATGAACAAAAAGGTTAAACATGCTACACCGAGGAACAAGTGATCAATATGCTGGAGTTTCATATTGAAAACATATTTGTTGAATTTGTTCACACATTGTTGTCAACATAATGGAATTTATGCGACTGTCATTACAAGTGGGATGTTTAGCTAGCTTTAAAACCAGGTTTAATCCACCATTTTCTACATAAGAAAATGACTGTACCAAAAAGGAATGTGACAGTTGTTTTCCATTCGTTTGATGTGTTTGGGTTCTTGATTTTGCCATTTGATAAGGGATTTCCCGTTTTTGAATTTTCCTTGGTGTTCGGTATTTTTGTTATTTTACTTTTAATAGCCGACTATGCAGTATGGGTTTTGTTCATTGTTGAAGGTCGTACGGTGACCTATATTTGGTAACTTCTATGTCATTTGGTCTCTGGTGGAGAGTTGTCTCATTGGCAATTATACCACATTTTCTTATCTTTTATATTAGCGAATCGAGTTTTGTTTATAGTTTGTTATTATGCCTTGCTAAATATTTCTCGACCTGTATCTGTTAGGGAACGACCATTTAACTTCAAAGGGGGGGAGGTATAGTTTTTTCCTAAAAAAATATTCTGATCCCAAGTTTGATGAAAAAAAAAATATTGTGGTCAAGCAGATGACAAAGAAAGTTTTCTGATTCCAGATTTTCCCCATACCTTATAGTGTTAAATTTTGAAAAAAATTTCTGACTCAAACAAAAAACAAAAAACCATACCCCCCCTTGAAGTTAAATGGTTGCTCCCTAAATACAAAGAAACACATATATGTACAATATAACCAAAAATATATAAGTAAACACCAAATTTCACATATTTGTACAATATAAACAAGAATTCATAAGTAAACACTAAAGCTCACATACATGTATAATATATACAAGAATTATAAGTAAACACCAAAACTCACATATATGTACAATATAAACAAGAATTACATGCAAACACCAAAAATCTCATATATGTACAATACATACAAAAATTATCAGTAAACACATTAGCTCACATATATGTACAATATAAACAAGAATTATCTGTAAATACCAAAACTCACATATATGTACAATATAAACAAGAATTATCTGTAAATACCAAAACTCACATATATGTACTATATAAACCAGAAGGGGAAGTGTTGTTATGTTCTTGAAAACAACTGATTTATTTATTAATCATATAAATCTACCATTTTTTTAATTATTTAAACTTTCCTGTTCAACTCATAATTTCTTTGCATTTCACAATATTTGGTCTTTGCAATACATTTTCATCCGTTAGCTTTTTCTTATTTATTGCAAATGTTTATCATTCTAGAATATGGTTTTCAACACCGAAATAGTTAATATTGCATTAGAAACATATACTTCAACATTCCACCGACCTGTTTCTATTAAGACCATTCTTAAACTCAAAATTTTCTTTAAAAATTCTATAATTTAAAGATTTTGGTGAATTTACCATAAGTTATAATGTAATGCCATTCTGGTCTAAATTCGATATGTAGGCGCATAAGTACTGAAGACATAGGCCAATCTGAGTTAGGAACAAGCTGGTCTGTCATAATATAGGAATAGCCAGTATCACCAAACACTGTTCAATTAACTTTAATCATGGGATTCAAAATGATAGGCGACCGACAATTTGCAAAATCGTAATTGATACGCTAAATAAGAAAGTTTTGAATCCTTCCCGGATAAAAGTCAAGCCTAATATGCAATCATTCTTAGTTGTCTAGTCAGGTGTAAGAGCACGGACTGGTCGCCTTGAAGCCAAAATATGCGTCCAGGTAGGGGGATTTGTTTTTATGCGTTCCGTTACCTTGGAATCTGCATGTTAAAAAAAATCATGTTGGTAGGGGTTATATTCATATTATTTGAATTTGTTTCCTGTGTAGTATTTTGTTGTCTGTCTGTCGTTCTTCTTTTTGATTTTATTGTTTTTAATTAATTGATATATCCTACCTCCTTTAAGTTTCATATCTTTTAAAATCATTGTTAATTTGTTCTCGTACTGAATATGTATGATATATTTGCCACTTGACGTTTAGCAAACAAAAACCAATCAGTCCGATTAAGAGATATGGACAATTTCTCCTTAATTTATGCATCACCTGGTCAAATTCAAAAGAAGTCTTTTACTAAATTTAACAGTATCACAGCCTGATGTGGGCAACTTGAGATTCTAACAACTCGCATGTTGTATTTCTGAGCATGTCACAAAATCATAAATGTCTAAATATACATAAACACTAAAAACATATGATTCATTCGGACAAATTTTTTTTTTTTTTTTTTCAAAAATAAAGAAGAAAATATTCATTTTTTTCTTATCAGATATTGTCCTATGTATTGTCCTTTAAAAACTTGTGAAATTCCAAATTTTTATTTAATTTGATACTTTGTATTGAGAGAAAACCAATGCGGCCTGTTCTTAAGCAACATGTCTGCCCTGATCAAGCATTCAATGTTTTTAAAGTGGGAGTCCAAATCTACGGTGGTCAATTTAAATTCACTCGCTTTTAGGTAGATCGGGAGTATTCCCCCATCTTGGATTGTAAAATAATAGATAACAATCGGTATAGATTTTTAATGAATTGTGCAAATTAGAGTGGAATGTAAATGTAGTTCATTTGTAAGTCTTTTCATCTTAATGAAAAAAAGATATGTGTTTTATCTTATACTGCTTTAAGAAATACAATAAAAAAAATTTCAACCTAGCCATATAAAGGGTAAGAACTCATATATTCTAACTTTTATAAAAGGAATATGTTGTAAACGTTAATTAAATTTACCCAGTTTGTTTAATAGAAAAAAACACAAAAATCAAAGCATCATGGATGTTGTGATTCAGCCAATTTTGTAGCTAGTCTGGCATTTTTTTCTGACCACACTTTCAATAATTATTTTATTATCTTCATTTCCATAATCTCACTGTAAAATTTTCATTCTATTGCCAAAAGATTAATGCAAATTATTTTGGTATTTCAATTCAAGACACTGTCAGATTTTTTTATATCTTTTTTTCGAAACATTTGAAACTCAATGATTTTGGACAAGAATGTTAAGGGAAATCTTCAAATGACTGTAGCATACTTTTTATATGCCATTAATAATAATTGGCTTAATAATTTCCAAAAAGAGCCATTAAAAATGCACTTTCTCAGCAACAACAAAAATAAATAATTAGCTTTTTATCTAAATTGGTGTTCATTTTTCATTAAGGAAAAATACATTTCCTGTATTCAAATACACATGTACAAATACCTCATGCTGAATTTATTCCAATTATCGTTAACTAGCATTATAATGGGGAATATACAAATACCTCATGCTGAATTTATTCCAACTATTGTTAAATAGCATTATAATGGGGAATATACAAATACCTCATGCTGAATTTATTCCAATTATGTTAACAAGCATTATAATGGGGAATATACAAATACCTCATGCTGAATTTATTCCAATTATGTTAACAAGCATTATAATGGGGAATATACAAATACCTCATGCTGAATTTATTCCAATTATTGTTAAATAGCATTATAATGGGGAATATACAAATACCTCATGCTGAATTTATTCCAATTATTGTTAAATAGCATTATAATGGGGAATATACAAATACCTCATCCTGAATTTATTCCAATTATTGTTAACAAGCATTATAATGGGGAATATACAAATACCTCATGCTGAATTTATTCCAATTATTGTTAAATAGCATTATAATGGGGAATATACAAATACCTTATGCTGAATTTATTCCAATTATTGTTAAATAGCATTATAATGGGGAATATACAAATACCTCATGCTGAATTTATTCCAATTATTGTTAAATAGCATTATAATGGGGAATATACAAATACCTCATGCTGAATTTATTCCCATTATTGTTAAATAACATTATAATGGGGAATATACAAATACCTCATGCTGAATTTATTCCAATTATTGTTAAATAACATTATAATGGGGAATATACAAATACCTCATGCTGAATGTATTACAATTATTGTTAAATAGCATTATAATGGGGAATATACAAATACCTCATGCTGAATTTATTCCAATTATTGTTAACTAGCATTATAATGGGGAATATACAAATACCTCATGCTGAATTTATTCCCATTATTATTAACTAGCATTATAATGGGGAATATACAAATACCTCATGCTGAATTTATTCCAATTATTGTTAACTAGCATTATAATGGGGAATATACAAATACCTCATGCTGAATTTATTCCAATTATTGTTAACTAGCATTATAATGGGGAATATACAAATACCTCATGCTGAATTTATTCCCATTATTATTAACTAGCATTATAATGGGGAATATACAAATACCTCATGCTGAATTTATTCCAATTATTGTTAACTAGCATTATAATGGGGAATATACAAATACCTCATGCTGAATTTATTCCAATTACTGTTAAATAGCATTATAATGGGGAATATACAAATACCTCATGCTGAATTTATTCCAATTACTGTTAAATAGCATTATAATGGGGAATATACAAATACCTCATGCTGAATTTATTCCAATTACTGTTAAATAGCATTATAATGGGGAATATACAAATACCTCATGCTGAATTTATTCCAATTACTGTTAAATATCATTATAATGGGGAATATACAAATAAATTTGTGACAGAAAATGCTCAGGTAAGACATGTAAGAGAGATAATTGTAACTTAAATAGACCTTAATTATTAACTTATGTCAGAAGATTATGACACTGATTTTACAACTATTGTGGTCAAAATTTGGTGTATTCAGTAAGATGTGTAATACATTGAATACACAAATTCTTGACCTCAATACCTGTATGATTATCAACTGTCATGATATATTAATATAACTGTGGTCAATTAAGACTGCATTTGAGTGGAGTTTAATCCAAATAATACTTACACCTTTGAGTGCAATTGTTTGATAATCGTGGCAGCTGTCCATCATACTGGTATTGTACCAACAATTTGATTTGCCTTATGCAAGATTGGGAATAATAGCATTTAAAAAAGTGTGGGAATCAACTCTGATATGAATACACATCTTGAACCAAATTTTATTCAATGGCTTACAGGAACATCAGATACTGATAAAACACTTTTATTATTCTTATCAACGGCTAAAATTTGATAAATCACATTTTCCACATTCATGTGACATTAATTAATAAATGGCAATTTAATATAAATTTTGATTTACACAGGAACTATATACAAGTGTTTATCTAAAATAAAGAAGTTGTTCGCCCAACCTTTTCTTAATTTAAAGACAAATAACATATTAAAAGTTGGCAGTTGATGATTAAAAGGGTGTATAAAGTTTCTGCAAGTCATAGAAACACATAATTATTTTCATGACATGTCTTCAACATTGAATTTTGCACCATCTCCAAAACCAGAGTGATCACATAGATCCAGCATGGCTGAATCAAAAAACCAGAGTTCAGTGACCCCGTTTTTTTTATTTTCTGAAAGCTTATTATAAGAGATGTCTTCTCATATTTTACCTTAAAATTCTATCGTTCAGTTTTTCTTTCTATAAAACAAAGTTTGTTTTAGTATAGCGTATTCAAAATCTGTAGCTTAAAAAATACTGGTGACTCATACTTTTTCTAATTTGTTTGCGGTTAGTATAGAAAAGGGAACATTGGCTTTACCTCTTTAACCTGAAGGGAACTGACCTAAACATTGATTGATTGAGTGTTTGCTTTATGCCCAATGGTTGATTCAAATAGCTATCTATTCAAGGAAAAGTAAATTATCTAACTCCACACAAATGTTAATGTTGAACATATTTGTAAAAAGTAGTCTAGTTAGAGAGACTATGGTCTTAGTTGAAATTTGACGTTGAACGAGATTTCAGTCACAATGTGAGTACACTTTATAATGGTATTCATGCCTATTGACTTATTTGTTTTGTATTAATTTGTACTTGGAACTGATCTATGCATCAATCCTGTTCGAACTAATCTAGACAGTTCGTTTTTATATCGTGCTTTCACACAAATGTGACAGTCCCAGATTGGGGATGGGGAAGGAAGGTTGAGCGCTAACAAACATATCTAACCCGCCACATTATGTACCTTTCCAAAGTCCGTACTTTGACCTATAGATATTGTATTGTGCTTTTTTTATGTTGTTATGTTACACCACTGTTTCAGGTTAGGATAAAGGTTGGCGCTTGTTAAAATATTTAAACCCGCTGCATTTTTATGCACCTGTACGAAGTCAGGAGCCTGTTGTTCAGTGGTTGTCGTTTGTTGGTGTGGTTCATAAGTGTTTCTCGTTTCTCGTTTTTTATATAGATTGGACCGTTGGTTTTCTTGTTTGAATTGTTGACTTGGATTGATAGTTGTCTCATTGACACTCATACCATATCTTCTTATTCTTATCGATCTGTAGTCCAGTCGTTATCATCACGTTTCCGTTTTTTACGATATTTTTTGCTACCACAGCCTGAATCAGGTTAAAAAGGTATTAGGGTGATCAGCTCTGAAAGAACGTGATAACTTAAACTACATATTAAATATTCCAACTTATCTTAAATCTAACAAGCAGGTTATTTCTTTTCACGTACAAAACAAAACATAGACATTTGGATATTTTTAAATGATTTATAATTGGTCAATTGAACAATACCAAAACATTGTCTGAAAAATGAGATTTCTGATTGATCCTTAGAACTTATAACCAGACTTTTTCAAATATTGGTGATTTCAGGTTGGTTCCTATAGAACAAGATAACTAGACAGTATATAATAATGGTGATTATGATTGGTCCTCTGAACGTTATAACCAGATATTACTTATAATGGGGATTTCTGATTGGTCCCTTGCATATAAAAATCAGAAAAAGCCCGAAAATGTTGATTGATTTTTATTCTGCAAAAACAGGGAACAATCTTTGGCATAAGAAATGTACACAATTCAACCTTTTTGCATACATTTTAAGAGTTAAATTGGTTATCAGTCTATCTTAACGACAAAAAGTTCAAAAGGTTAGAAAACACACATTGTCACATGTTTGTTCCTTCATGGTTAATTGCTAGATACAAAAGCTGGGAATTTATTTGACGAAAACTAACCACCATCTATACTTAATTCCCTGAAGGACAAAATCATAAAAATAATTCATATATCAACAGAAAAACATACCACAAAATTTCCTAAATGTTTTTTTTCTATGTTTCATGTTTCTCATACTCCTATATACATTTGTATAAATAAATATTCATTTATGTGCACAATGTTTATAGTTTTGGCAATATTTACACAACAGTTTTTACTGCATGTGATTAAATTTAAAAAAAATTACTATAACAGACCAAAATTGATCTAGTTGTCAATTTTATTCCAATATTTCCTCTCTAGTCCACTTTTTCATCTTCACAATTTTTTTTTATAAAAGAGAGGCGAAAGATACCAAAATGGAGATTCAAATTCATGAGTAAAAATAAACTGACAACGCCATTGCAAAAAATAAAAAAGACAAAAAATTAAACAACAGTACAGCCCTTGGATGGTGTAAACTTCCCAAAAAAAACGTGTATGGTGTAATGGTGTATGGCATATGGTGCAATGGTAGAAGGTGTATGGTGCTATGGTGTATGGTGTAAGGGGAATGATGTAATGGTGTAACGTGCGATCGGGAATGGTGTGAATGAATGGTGTACGACATTTAAAACTATGCAAAAATTGATGTATGTTTTGGTTAAAAATAAAATGAATTTACAAAATGACATAAAGAACTGGTTTTTAATTTTATACTTTAATTTACAATATTGTGATCAAAATTCGTTTTTTAAAATAAATAAATAATTTTGTAGTCGCACGCTTTCTTTGAAATTAAATTGCATTATGGTGTAATGTGTAAGGTGTATGGTGCAAAGTAGTAACGTGTATGGTGTAATGGCACAAGGGTGTAATGGTGTATGGTGAATGGTGTAATGGTGTATGGTGTCAGTGGGAAGTTTACACCATCCAAGGACTGTATACAAAACACAATATTGAAAACTAAAGATTGAGCACCAAAAACCCCACTAAAACTTGGAGGGAATCGCAGGTGCTCCGAAAAGGTATGCAGATCATGCTCCAACAGTGACAAGTATAATTCGGGAGAATTACTCTACATGATTGTATGAATAGAAAGATGTAGTCTGACTTTTATCGGTAGCATTACATTGCTATCAAATATAAAGATGGTCGCTTTCTATGCACAAGGTCTTCTACAAATCTGTTTCTATGGTTATATGTGTATTTCTCATCAACTACAAAAATAACTGTTTGCCATACAAATGATGAGAACAACTTTATTTCTCTATTGCGTTAGAACATTGATTTGTTGTTCAATTTCTACCTCAACAGTAATTTCTGAAAAAAAGTAAAAAAATTCACAAATCCAAAGATAAAATACGCAACTATTAAAAATTTTACTTTAAAAAATTGAAGTTTTACAGAAATACCCCTTTTTTACTGGACCAGTAGAAAAAAAAGCTGTGGCGACTATCATTCTATGGAACCTCCTCTTTACCCGAAATATATTCATATTCGAAAGACATAAAATTAAGTGTTTTATTAGATAATACTTATCAAGTCTGCACACTGATACTTTAGTCTGGATAAAACCCTTATTAACTTTGAGCACAACTTCAAACTGTTTAAAGCATATTTACCCGATATTTCTTTTTTAACCAATTTCACATCCTCATCTGAAATTGTATTAGCCAAAATATCCTTAAGCTCATGTGTATACAGCTTTTGTGGTTTGTTAAATTGGTCGAACCGTATTAAGAGGTCACTTAATATGTTACATAACTCGTTAAAACGTGTATCTCCAAGTTTAGCTGCCGTTGAGTGTTGTAGTTCATTCCTTGTAAGTCTTATGCGCTCAATATCATCTCCAACAGTTATGTCTGTAACCTGAATTTTCTGCCATTTCCCTCCCCATCCATTAGTTGGAATATGTTTTTTAAGTTTAAAGTGCTCCTGGTATAAGTGTGATATATCACAATCGCTTCTTGGACATAGATTTGGTTTGTCTGGTTTTAAGAGGTCATATAAAGCATCAGCGAGAATATTCAGCACGATCATTCCCATCTTTGTAAAATTGATTTCCTCTTTGGTGAACTGAAAAGAAGATAATTGTAAGGAATGGTAATGTAAAATATGAAAAAGATATTATACAATAAGGTTTAACATAAGTTTTATTGAAATCAATTGTCAGTTAACTTAGTCAAGTACTCATAGAAGTTCCTAAAAGAATAAAACTTAAAAGTAAAATCAATGAGCTGGTACCTAGCATCTAAAAATAACTCTTGCTCAATTTTTTGGCACAACCAAATCTAGGAATGCTGTTCAAAATTATTATGAAAAACATCTACCTCAGAAATATTTCAGCAATATTTTGTCTTGGTACCATAAACAGATAAAAAATTCGTAAGGGTTCCGCGGAACCCAGTGTCTCGCCTACTTTTGCTGTTAATTGCAGGCTAAAAAAAAATGAGGAAAAAAATTAATAAAAATATTCCTCTTGATATATCTTTTGATTGTAAGAAGCTTCTCTCCAAGTTTGGTAAAAATCCAGGATAGTTTATGAATCTAATAAATGTTTTAAAAACTTTAACTGCAGACTGTATGTAATGTTAACTGAAAGTTAAATACGCAAAAACGGGTACAAAATTTTAACAAAATTTTCTTCTAGATACCAGCTTTTGATCATAAACAAGCTTCTGTACAAGTTTGGTAAAAATCCAGGATAGTTATTTGTGGACGCTGACGCCGCCACCTCCGACGGAATGTAGGATCGCTATGTCTCGCTTTTTCAACAAAAGTCGAAGGCTCGACAAAAAGCACATGTTATGTTAAATCGGTTTTTTTTTATTATCAATGATAATGGAACAAAGTCAACTAAATACATTCATGTTTAAAAAAAAATCAAACATAATGTTTAAATGGATCAAAAATGTAATATTTACCAAACATTTGAGGAATCTGGTCTTTTACATGATAATTCATGATAAGATGTTTGTTTCAAATAACTAATGCATAGCAGTATGATGACTATGAAAGGAGTAAGGTATGTACAGACCACATTTGACCCTGAACATTGGGTTCATTGTTTCAAGATCAACATATTTCATGTTCATAATGTTGATTAAAATACATACAGCGCAGGCTTTGACAAAATAAATATCTGAGTCGAATATGTTTATTGTTATAACAAATAAACATTATGTTAATAGACGTTTTTATTGACCAATGCGCTCTACGTTTCCGTTCCTAAAAACCAATGAAAATATGCGTGTTAACATTGAATTTTGTGTAAAATGTAAATTTGTACTATTTGCGACACCAAGAAATAATCTTAATGACCTATTTCATATCAAGTCATTGTTTTAGCTATGATTTATTGTGATATTGGTTAATACAACCTTATTTGAAATTTTAGCCAGAAATAGAAGCCATATAAAACAGTCTCGTTTGAAGCATACTGATTGCATTTAAGAAAACGTTTTTTTATTCTAAAATGCGTAATATATACAATATATAAATGACACATAGCTGAGAAGGTGATAGAGCAGATTTTTACCTCGAGAAAACATTGTCAACAGATGCCTGGTCAAGGTTGATAATGTTTTTTTTAAGGGTGCCAATCTGCTCTATCACCCTTTCAGCTATGTTTTATTTAATTCATTATACTGAATGTTCTATCATTTTTGTCTTTTGATTCAAGCACATAACGTTACAGTTATTAGAAAAACAACAAAAGTGAAGCAAGATATTTTTTTTTATTTTGACAGTCTATGAAAAGTTCTTAGGCCATAACGTAGAACTGCATCATGTTTTTTTTAAGTATTGATGTACATCCTCTTCATTGTCATTTTAATTATCGATTTTTGATTGCACGAGATGATGACATTCAAAAAATTGTCTCCTGCTGAGCCATGGGATAGAGTAAATTATCTCCTGCTGAGCCATGGGATTGAGTAAATTATCTCCTGCTGAGCCATGGGATAGAGTAAATTATCTCCCTCATATTTAACAATCAAAATCTGGCATTTTAACGTACAGTATAATAATAGTGGTTTGCCGACCCAATGACAATTCACTTCTCACTTCCAAAAAAGTGATACTAGTTCAGTTTAGCTGTCTATGTATATTTATCAACCCGATGACAGTTACGTCCAATGTTGAACACACACTACTAACTTCACATGAATACTAGTACAGCACAGCTGTTAGTGTATGTTTATTGACCTGATGACAGTTACGTCCAATGTAGAACACACACTACTAACTTCACATGAATACTAGTACAGCACAGCTGTAATTGTATGTTTATTGACCCAATGACAGTTACGTCCAATGTAGAACACACACTACTAACTTCACATGAATACTAGTACAGCACAGCTGTTAGTGTATGTTTATTGACCCGATGACAGTTACGTCCAATGTAGAACACACACTACTAACTTCACATGAATACTAGTAAAGTGCAGCTGTTAGTGTATGTTTATTGACCCGATGACAGTTACGTCCAATGTAGAACACACACTACTAACTTCACATGAATACTAGTAAAGTGCAGCTGTTAGTATATGTTTATTGACCTGATGAAAGTTTACGTCAAAAGCTGACCATATACTACTCACTCAACATAATAATACTAGTTCAGATAAAGTGTCTTTGTATGTTTTTATCAACCTGATGACAGTTGCTGAATACATCCTACTCACTTCACATGTGAGAAAATGTTTTACAATTGAGAATTGAGAGTCTACCAAAAAAAATTGTAAAATCACAAAAATACCGAACGCCCAGGAAAATTCAAAACAGAAAGTCCCTAATCAATGGTAAAATCAAAAGCTCAAACACATCAAACGAATGGATAACATCTGTCATATTCCTGACTTGGTACAGGCATTTTCTTATGTAGAAAATGGTGGATTAAACCTGGTTTTATAGCTAGCTAAACTTCTCACTTGTTTGACAGTCGCATAAAATTCCATTATTTTGACAACGATGTGTGAACAAAACAAACAGGCATAATAGATATAAATCTCAAAAATTGGGGTACAGCAGTCAACATTGTGTTATAATCTTAATCACTATAAAAAACAAACAAATATGTAACAAAGAAACACAAAAAGGCATATAGACAAAACACATTAGTAAAAATGAAAGACAAGAATACAAGAATTTAACATAGCACAATTACCACAATAACGGGATGTATAAGTACTAAGATGACCGCATATGTCAAATTCAAAGTCTAATAAAATGCTCCGCAGGGCGCAACTTGATACGACCGCAGAGGTCGAACCCTGAACAGTTGGGACAAGTATGGACACAACATTCAAGCTTGATACAGTTCTGAATTTGGATTGTGATTAAATATTTGACACAGCATAGGTTTCTGACACAGAATGAATGTGGTCTAAGAACTTAAAAATTTTAAATTGGACATTCACCTATTATGGTCCAATATCCAAAATCTAAATACATGGTTAGATTCAGCATATCAAAGAACCCCAAGAATTCAATTTTTGATGAAATCAAACAAAGTTTAATTTTGGACCCTTTTGACCTCAATGTGGACAAAGTTGATAACGGGGCCCAAAAATCAAAAATCTAAATACATGGTTAGATTCAGCATATCAAAGAACCCCATATATTCAATTTTTGTTGAAATCAAACAAAGTTTAATTTTGGACCCCGATTTGGACCAACTTGAAAACTGGGCCCATAATCAAAAATCTAAATACATGTTTAGATTCAGCATATCAAAGAACCCTAAAAATTCAATTTTTGTTAAAATCAAACTAAGTTTAATTTTGGACCCTTTGGACCTTAATGTAGACCAATTTGAAAACGGAACCAAAAATTAAGAATCTAAATACACGGTTAGATTCGGCATATCAAAAAACCCCAATAATTCAATTTTTTGATGAAATCAAACAAAGTTAAATTTTGGACACTTCGGACCTCAATGTGGACCAATTTAAAAACGGGGCCCAAAATCCAAAAACTAAATACATGGTTAGATTCAGCATATTTAAGAACCCCAAGAATTCAAGAATAAAACCCCATTGAAATTGATCAAGAAATAAGCAATTTATACGAAGTATCTTCTTTTGCACAATACTGTGCAATTGAATATTTCTTGCTATTGTGCAATACTGTACAATTGACAATTTCTTGCTATTGCGCAATATTGTGCTATTGGATATTTTCTTGCTATTGCGCAATACTGTGCAATTGAAGATTTCTTGCTATTGCGCAATACTGTGCAATTGAAGATTTCTTGCTATTGTGCAATACTGTGCAATTGAAAATTTCTTGCTATTGCACAATACTTATTTTATAATAATTTACACATCCTGTTTGGTGTGTATCTCCTACCATATCATTATTATTTGCTTTTAAATATTAATCAGAAATAACCAACTTAAAATGGAAAATTTTAAAAGAAAAAAAAAAGGAAAAAAAGAAAAAAAAAGAAAAAAAAAATCCCCCCCCAAAATTTTTTGAACCCCCTTATGATTCATCACCCCGAAACTCAATCCCAGCCTTCCCTTTGTGGTATGGTACCTTGCAGTACAATTTCAGAGAGATCCATACTCTTGAACACAAGTTATTGTCTGGAAACTAGAAAAATGCTTATTTTTGGCCCCTTTTTGGCCCCCAATTCCTAAACGTTTCGGGCAATTACCCCCAAACTCAATTCCAGCTTTTCCTTTGTGATATGGAACCTTGTAGTACAATTTCAGAAATATCCAAACACTTACACACAAGTTATTGTCATGAAACTAGAAAAATGCTTGTTTTTTGCCCCTTTTTTGGCCCCTAATTCCTAAAATTTTGAGGCAATTACCCCCAAAATCAATTACAGCCTTCCCTTTGTGATATGGAACCTTGTGGTACAATGTCAGAGATATCCATACACTAACACACAAGTTATTGTCTGGAAGTTACAAAAATGCTTATTTTTGGCCCCTAATTCCTTAACTGTTGGTACCATAACCCCCAAAATCAATCCCAACCTTCCTTTCGTGGTATTGAACCTTATGGTAAAATTTCATGGAGATCCATTCACTTAAACTAAAGTTAGAGTGCGAAAACCA